AGGCCCAAAGGCCAATGCTCTACCAACTGAGCTACTGTATATATACTGTAAATATGTACAGTATAAGTATATACACATGCATTATCAATAGTATTTATTATTATTATTTAAAATGTAATTTTGTGTGTTTATTACCTTTTCTTATACTTAATTATCTGTTAATTGTCATGTATGTTTGTTTGCACTTATGTTATAAACAAAATATTAGATGATTCATCTCAAGGGCCCTTCCTTAAATAAATAAAAAAACGAATACTGTAAGCACCGTAGTCATCATAACAATCTACAAAAGTATCTCCATAAACTTAGGAATTTATAATTGTTGTTCGAATGAATGAATAAAATCAAAACAACAACAATTCAAAATTGCAACGGCTGAGTTACCAAGCGCCAATCAGAAGCGCCGCTGGTCTGTCCTCACTCGTGCTAAGTCCAAGTCGCTGACAGAAGGCTCCTGATAGGTCAGGTTTTAGGGCTGGATTTACAAAGAAAATATCATATAATCACAATACAAACACCTGGGTCACTGAGTGTGCAAAGCCTAAAATAGCGAGCGTGACTCAAACGGTTACTGAGCTAGAGGAGGTTACTTTCAGTCAATAGGAGCCAGAGCGAGTAGGAGCAAAACTTTGTCTAGAAGCACTTTCCTATCGCGCTTCATTGAGCTAGCAGGTTAGCATTGTCCATCTGTATACAGTCTATGGTCTCACAATCTCAGGAGACAACACACACTTCCAAACCTAGGAAACGATTGGGTGTTTTATTCATGGCATGTTTGGGGTAATAATTTTTGAATAAGGAGTTTGCAACTTGGATCTCGTCTCCTCATTCCTTGTTCCATGTTTTTTTCATAGTTAATACATTGTTCTAATATTGAAGCAACACGTCGTAAAACACCGGTGGCTTTCTCTTTTACGATCTATGTGCTTATACTCACACAACATTTCATTTTCTCCTCCCCGTACCAATAAGTCGCAAATTCTCATCTCTAGTTTTGCAGTCGAATGCACATGTCTTGGCTCCAGCTAAATGAAACACGCCGTACCTTTAGCATTTTGAGTTGCCATTTCCATAAATCTCTCTAAAGCACCTTCACTATCAGATTGTCTCCTCTACTGTACAAGTGACACTCTTTATCGCTTCACTGATTCCAATTTGTTGCCGATTGGCTAAACTTCTCAGGCTCTCGCACCTGTTTATCAGCGCTGCCATAAAAGATTCATGACTTTGACGCAGGCTTAGGCTTCTTCGGGAAATTGGCAACGTTTTTGACTGCACAGTTGGAATCAATGGACAATCCGAGGAATTATCTTTGCAGCATCGACCTTAGATCTGTTTTTGATCAAAGGTGGTTGACAGTTAAACGCTGTCAAGATTGACGCAAAAAAAAAAAACAACTCAGAGATATACACATAATTCCAATCTCTGTAGCTCCCAGGCATGAAAATAAGACGGCTTCATGGAGTATTTGATGTCTCTGTTTGAGGCATGTGGAGGACGGCATTGCTGAATCAAACAGACACTTTGGATTGCCTCGAGTTCATGCCGGGCTTAGATTGCCTCCAGATCTTTCTGTCTCTCTGTCTTGGCCTTTGATTTATTAATAACAACAATTACATTTGGCATAATGTGACTGGACGATTCAAAGGGATATCTGAAACTTTAAATGTATTTAATTTTATAGAAAGGAATATTTTTGACTGTGTGAATTATCATTGAAATTGAGTATTTTTCATATATATTATTTTTCAAAGCAGTCTCTCTCATTGCTATTACCACCACCAGTAGTATTTCCTGGAGGAGAATAGTTTAACCAATGGGGAGGGGCTCTCAGCTGTCTATCAAGGATCTGAGGTCACTTCTCTCTCTTCCATCACTCACTGCAGCTGCTGTATGTCACAACAGCAGAAAAGGTCTTAACCATCCGTAAACACCTGTCAATAATTATTTCCCTACATGTACGTCTGGGTCTGCTCCCAGTGTCTGCAGTTAGCTAGTTTATCGGTTGAAACCCATTCGATCAATCAGAGAGCGGTGGATGCGGGTGTTGTAGGTAGGTGTCGGTGACATCAAAAACGTGCGCCGAATTTGCTGGTTGTAGATTAGCAATGGCGGAGAATGCGATTGTAATTTAATCCGTTCTAGTTTGGCTCCAAATATCGAGGAGCAAGAGGAATGTTTCGCAAATTGCTGGCAAAGATTTTGTGGCTCTACTCCCTACGGGCTCCGTAAGTGGCAAAGGAAATGGCTAAAGCTAGGCTAAATGCGAAATGCTAGTGACTCATGGCAAACTCAGATCCAATTGTTTCACTCTGCAAAAGGAGTTAACTCCTCACACCTGTTAACAAAGCTCAATGGAGCGAATCCAGACCTTGGAATGAAATTTGTACGATGGTGTGGTAAGACCAGGCTAGAGCTAGGGTTGCCAACTTGAGAACAGAAAGATGAGGGACACCATTTGGGTGGATTGGGTTTGCTTTTTTTTTTCCTAATTTCAATCTACACAGGAATCATTTCATAATCACAGTTTTTAGAATGTAATTTATTGACTACATATACAGTGCCTTGCGAAAGTATTCGGCCCCCTTGAACCTTTCAACATTTCGCCATATTTCAGGCTTCAAACATAAAGATATAAAATTTAAATTTTTCATCATGAATCAACAACAAGTGGGACACAATCGTGAAGTGGAACAAAATTTGTTGGATCATTTAAACTTTTTTAACAAATAAAAAACTGAAAAGTGGGGCGTGCAATATTATTCGGCCCCTTTACTTTCAGTGCAGCAAACTCACTCCAGAAGTTCAGTGAGGATCTTTGAATGATCCAATGTTGTCCTAAATGACTGATGATGATAAATAGAATGCACCTGTGTGTAATCAAGTCTCCGTATAAATGCACCTGCTCTTTGATAGTCTCAGGGTTCTGTTTAAAGCGCAGAGAGAACCATGAAGACAAAGGAACACACCAGGCAGGTCCGAGATACTGTTGTGGAGAAGTTTAAAGCCGGATTTGGATACGAAAAGATTTCCCAAGCTTTAAACATCTCAAGGAGCACTGTGCAAGCAATTATATTGAAATGGAAGGAGTATCAGACCACTGCAATTCCAATGCAAGTGACTAAAAAGCTATTCGTTTACAAAGCTGGTCTTGACATTTGTTGACGCTCCCTAAGCGCTTTTCTCTGTGCTTGGATTTCTCTGCATTAAAACAGCGCATTGGATTTGAACAATCAATGCAGAGGTGATCAATTTGGAACAATTACTTTTGCTTAACAAAGTAGCTTTCGTGAGGTATTGACCGCGGAAAACCAAATCTGGTAATATGAAGCAAACTTTCCCAAACTTCTGCCGTGTTGATGCTGGAGCCCATGGATGTGATCAAGCCCTTTGACGCTGATAGGCCAAAAGGTAGACGCTTAAACTGTGATTACTGTGTGTGTGCGTGTGATGTGCAGAGTGAGTGATGCATTTAAGGCAACTCGGACAAAAGCCGTCCAGTATCGATTCAACACGGGACACACATACAAATACAGGACAATTCCGTATTTTAAGGGACGGTTGGCAACAATAGACATGAAGGAAGAGTAAATCCTCTCACATGGACCTGACAGAACAGGTACATTCACCATATCACTGTTGAATATTTCATCACACTCTGACTTCTACTCACAGGGATTTTTACAGACGCACTCAACTGTAAACTGAAGATTTTCACAAAGCACCTCACCGCACACGGGGCCAGCGGGTCCACAGACAACCCACACATAACTCATGCTTACTGTATGTTGCGGCCACAAACCAGCAGAGCATTTCTCAGTACAGTCAGTGTCAGTGTCACAGTTCATGATCTATTTGTTTTGTTTTTGCCTTTAAAAAAAACACAAAGACATAGGAAAAAATAGCGAGGTTTATTCATTCTGACAGATGATAACTTTATTCATGTCAGAATGCACACTGTAGATACACATGCGTCTGCAGGCACGGTCAGGGTTAGTTTTTAAGCTAGAATTTGGTTTGTCATGTGAAGATTATTTTACTAGTGTTAAGTTGAGAAAAAATGCATGAGCAGTGAGTTTTAAATGCTTGTTTTTTTTTTTTCCAGACAACTTTTTTTGTTGTTAAGATAAAATAAGTATGTTCTATATTTTAAGAAAACAAAAAAAGTAAATAAATCATGAAATGTATGTTTTTATACTAGAATCAAGTCTTTTGGGGCTAGTATTGTTTTCTTATTTTCAGAAATCTTGTCAAGTCATATTTTCTTGCTCTATTATTGGGAGATATTTTTTCTCATTCTTAGCTGTATTTGACTTTTCTCATATATTTTTTTCAAGAGATTTTTTCCAGTGTTTATGCTAAAGTTAGAAATTCTATTTTATTTTACTTTTTGATTTTAGTGTAGAGAGTAATTGAAACTAATACATGGTTTCATATCCCAGAGACCTCTAATTACATTTCAGATCATCCATGGATGTCATTAATTATCGATATAGAGCAAAATCTTCTGCCTTCATTTACTTTGCTGTTTCGCGAGATAAATTAACAATAACTCTATTCTTTTACTTTATTTTAGAATGGTTTTATTGTTCATTTATCTTGTGCTGTGTGCTCCTCATCCCTACTCTTCTGTAGCTGGGGATCCAATCTGTTTCAGCGTTGCCTTTCCTTAATTTTGTTCTTCAATGTTTATCTGCATGTGTTTTGTAAATGCACATTTGAGTGTCCAAAAAAGCACTATATAAGAAAGTCAGCAGGTAAGTAATGTTTATTTATATATTTATTAAATGTTTAAATATATATATTTGTTTAACAGACCAAGGTTACCCAAAGCGCTTTACAATGTTCAGAGTTCATATATTAGTAGATTTTATTATATAAGTTTGATGAATTATTATTATTATTATTATTAATCTTTGACGTAATAAATTTCTACTTCCTCCGTTACTTTCTTTCTTAGACTTTGTTCAATTTACGAGTTGTGTGTGTTTTTTTTTTACCAGAACCACCACCGGGTCGTGTAGGGGCCCGTCCGTGTGCAGCGTCTCCACCTCGTCCTCGATGATGTAATGCCACTCCACGCCGAGGTCGATGAAGCTCCGCGACCGTAGCTCCTCCCCTTTCCCGTTCAGCACGTAGTGTCCGGTCGCCTGGTTCTTTATGGCTGTAACGAGTCACTTTGCATGAGTGGCACAGACCAAACGTGGAAGGAAAACACGCAAACAACGGCAAAGGGGAGAAATGCATTTAGTACAAAAGCAAGCACTTTACTCCGTCAGCTCAGAAAGAAGTGAAAGAAGGCGGTTTGAACATGGCAACCTTCAAAGTGCTCAAGTGGTTTTTTTTCTTTGTTGCTTTCTTTACCTGATCTAAAGTTCATTATTTGCCATTACATATATATAGGGTAAGTGGAAAGAGTGCTTGAGTGCATTTAAGTTATTTTGTACTTCTTGTACAGTTGGTAATGGCTCTAAGTAAACATCATTTGGTTCGTGTGCTGGACAAATACCAGCATCCATCCATCCATTTTCTTCCCCTTAATCCATTTCTGGGTCGGGGGGTAGCAGTCAGAGCTGCACCCAGTACACATAGCACCAGCCCCTCACTGATCCTCCTGCAGGTCGTGAGTCCACAGGAGCTGAGATCTTTCAGCGGGGGCTTTGGGCAAAGTGAGGTTAAGTGTCTTGCCCAACTTTAAAATTAAGGAAAATTATTAATTTAGATTAGCCCATCAAATTACTTTAATGCATTGGTTTTGTATAGCACATCACATTCACATTATTCTTTCACTCCGTACACAGTGGTAATAAACTACTATTGTAGCCACACCTGTCCTGGGGCACACTGACAGATGGGAGGCAACCAGTATGTGCCATCGGCCCCTCTGACCACCACCAAATATTCACACACACCAGACTCATTCTAGGCAATGTGGGTAGTGTCTTGCCTAAGGATACCCCGACAATTTGGCACTTTACAGCCACAGCCGCCCTACCGTGGCACCTGGTGTTCCCTGAGGTCTCTCATCTGCACAGCTTCAGAGGTCTGAAGGGATCTGGCTTTCGCGTGCAAGTATGGCCACATGAAGGTGGTTCAATAGCTTTGGTACGAGAACATGTGGCTGAGTGGTTAGCACTCCTGGGTTCTTTTGAGAGGGAGGAAGCGGGGAGCGAGGGATCTACTACGCATTTCTTTGATTGGTTTGGTGTTTTACAGTTATAAACTCACAGCGCCACCTCCAGGCCTGGTACATACATTGTCTCATTTCTGTCATCACCGTGTGTCGAGAGAGTTGAACAATATCTGAACTCTGAACATTGTAAAGCGCTTTGGGCAACCTTGGTCTGTAAAAAATGCGCTATGTAAATAAAGAGAACTTACTTACTTAAATGCTTATACTTTATCAATTCCCTGAGAATTGGATTGTTAAAGGGTTAAAAGCAGCAGCAGATTTCCAGATGGGTGTTTGTATGTGAGTGGTTTGCAGCCATACAAAGCTCTGTGCCCAGTGGAGGCAGGACAGTGCTGTGTAAATGTGACCATTCCCCAGACTCGACTGGTGAAAGAGTGGTTCAGAACAAATGAGACTCGCAATTTCCACACATTGATTGGCTTCTACTTTGTCCAGAGCCGAGAGAGAGTCCAGGCAGCGGCATGTGCTGAAATCGGCCCATCATCTTGGGGAGAAATCATAGCAGTTCTGGCACAAGAGCACAGAAAAGAATATTGTTGGAGTAAAATTGAAGTGTTGCGTATGGTTAAAACCGGGCGAGGGGGAGTTCTGTTTGGTATGCATTATATGGGAAAACCTGCACCACAAAAATGCTCAAATAGGTGAAGCAAGCTTGGATCTGGGTGTTTATTTTCTTGGGGATATTTTGACTTAAAATTAGACTTAAAATCAGTTTTGTCTTATTTCTTACTTCAGTGAATTTGCTATTTCTCATTCAAAGGTAGACTTTTCATGTCTCTTTTAAAAACAAGACATTTTTACTTGTCCCATTGGCTATTCTTGTTTTTTTTGCACATTAACATATTTAAATTAAGCTGGTGCAGTTTATGAATCCGTGCACTCATTTTGGGTCGCTCTGAATTCAACTTGAAAAAATAAATCAAGGTTATTTTCTTCATATACATTCAAACACTGTGGCAGGTGATCTTGAGTAGTTTTACAGATTAATCCTACAAGTATACATTTCTTGCACTAGAGCGTCCATATTTGCGTTTATTATTTTCAAAAGTATAAGCTATACTTAATAACTACTGTTTTGTAACTTGTGATGCAACACTGAAAATTCTCTACTGTGGGACAAAAAACATTTCTTAACCTTATTATTTAAATGTGTAAATCTTCTATTTGGGGGGATTACTTGGAAGCTGGGGGCGACCACTGATCTAAATGTGTTTCACTGATATTTCTACTTTTGTCTGTCTACAACAATCTAAAGTATTTTTGTGAGACTGAGGAAGCGCCTGGTTTTGGACGCAGGTGTTACACTGACACACATTCAGCTTGTCAAAAAACCCACACTGTAAACACACCGCGGGAAAGCGCTCAGGCACTAAAGCCGTGGGTTTTTACTCACTTGAAGGAGCCATAGTTCAAATACACACACTTTCTGGAGACACATTGCAGATAACAGAGTAGAGTGGGAGTTAATGCGAGGCTTTCTGAACACATTAAACCCAACTCTGAACATGTGACGGTATAGATATGTTAAAGATGTACAAAGCGTGGGGCGCGCCTGATGCTGCAATTGACAAAACCGGCTCACAGGAAATTCAATACCTCGAATCAATCACCGCTGGCAATTACTGAGAAGCTGGTCTGCATACAGAGAGATGCACAGATTGCTATATGGAAGCTGGAATGACTCTTTCCAATGTTTTTGTGTCATAGAATAGTCATTTCTGTATTAAAAAATGCTCCATAATGATCTGTGTCTGTCCCATAACTTTACAAAAATGGATTTCTACAGTTTATTATAAAGGTATACAGGAGGATTTTCGCAAATTTTAGAAAATAATTGCCCTTTCCACTTTTTGAACAAAACTCTGGTCTTATTTGACGAGCATGTATCACCAGAATGATTGACAATTGGGAGGACCAATAGTGTTAATGATCCACCCAGAAGTAGAAAACCCTACTATATACCTTTAAGCTCAATGTATAGATTGTATTTTGTTTAAGTAAAGAGTCGTGCTATACGTAATATTAACTTTTCTTGTGTTGTGTTCTGTAACTAATCATAAAACTCCCCTCAAAGCAGTGTTATTTTGTTTTCATTTGTGCCAAAATGTCCAAGCAACACTGCCGAATCTTACGTAAATGAAAGGTTTTACAAATAATGATTTAAAAAGGGGAGATTGAAAGGTGCTTGTTTGGTTTGGTGGTGAAAATGGGGATTATCAGAGTAATGGCACCTTGAATGCAGGTGAGATTACTCAAAGTCGAAAAGGATGACTACTATAATGTCGTTCAAAGCTTATGCTAGCTCATATAATGTCTCCTATAATCTTTGGAAAGAGGATTTTTAAGCTAAATGATGTGTAAAGTTGGCTATGAAGGTTGCGTGTCACAACAGTTGTAATCCATGCATTTAAGGCTTGTGGGCTCAGAAATAGTCAATTTCACCTACCACCTATCTCCGCCCATTGTATCTGAAAATGGGTTACCTAATACCTACCTTTTTTTTTTTACAATAAATAACACATGTTTTTTTCCCAACAGGAAGAGTCTTATGTTGAAGCAAAAACAAATCAGACCACAACATCAAAGTAAAAAACATGTTATCTTTGTCCAATGAGTAAGAAAGAGTCCCTTGAATCACTTTGGGCTGAGAGCTGATTGGCTGAGTGAGTCTGAGTGAGTCTGAGTGAGTCCGAGTGAGTCCGAGTGAGTCCGAGTGAGTCCGAGTGAGTCCGAGTGAGTCCGAGTGAGTCCGAGTGAGTCCGAGTGAGTCCGAGTGAGTCCGAGTGAGTCCGAGTGAGTCCGAGTGAGTCCGAGTGAGTCCGAGTGAGTCTGAGTGAGCGGTTTTTCACCTTTCACGTCTGAAAAAGCTGATCTTAAAGAAACTATTGTGGTTACATGGATTTCATTACATCATTAACCCTTTAATGTTCACTCCTTCAAGAAAGAAATGTTTTTTTTTTTCTTTTTTGGATTTTCTAAGGTGTAGAACCACGTATTACTATTTTAAGGGTGTATTTTTTTCTTCTTCTAACCCCTAGCTCCTAAAACCAAGTGAGAAGTCCCAAAGATTTCAGTTCCAAGCATGTTCCAAGTAGATATAGTGACTCAAAAAGTGATATACCGTTGGTTGAGGAAACCCTGAAAGGGTTAAACAGTTTGAGGTCTGAATGATACACACCCCAGCTTTAAGCCGCTCCAGATCCATAGCGTAGATGCGTGACAACGATCCGGTCACAAATTGGTGGTTAGACGGTTCGTCATCGGTGAAAAGACGTCATCGATCAACGCAATTCTTAGCATGTGAAATTTGACAGAGACAAGATGGATGCCAACGACGTGGAGCAGACGGTCATTACTCTGAAGGGAGAGAGGCAGAGGAAGCCAATTCCACGTCCAGGCGCTGAAGGCTGATTTATAATGGACACAGTCTTGTCTCGCTCAGTCCGCTGTCACACATACTGAGACACGGACACGCCACTTTCACATCGTGTCCATTAATGTGCTATGTGCCCAGTGGAATGGCATCATTAATGATAGGTGATGCCTATTATGTTGACCGCTGCAACGGTTTATAAATGTTTTAAAGTTTTATCTGTTGTATTCATGGGTTCTTTTATTTAAAAAGTTTCTCTCTCCACCAGTACCTTTATAGTTCGGTACGAGTGGGAAGTCATTGATTTTGGAAGTCAATGATTTTGCAATTTGAAAGTAAAAAAACCTTGAGTTGAATCCTCACATGTTTTTTCAAGGAAGTAAAACATCTTTCCTACCACGAGGCCAACAAGTGCTGAATCTTGAAATTAAATGTTCTAAAATAGATAAAAGTCCAAAACTATACCAACATCTGCAAATCAAGTATATATTTTCATACTGGAATCTAATGCCATCGCCCAATAGCGACACTGGGAGGTACGAGAGTACCTCCCAGTGTGCACCAGGATAGTGCACAGCAGAGCGATGTTAAAGGTGTC